ATGGTATAGAATGGTAATAAAGAGAGAGATCCGCCAGCTAACTAGCAAAAGGCAACCATCCTTCCAGAGGAACACAGGCAGACAGGTGGCTATTGCTTAGCTGGAAGGTAGGTGGCAGTCAGAACATAAGTGGCTATTGCTAGACTAAAATTGGCTACCAGCAGCTTGGTAACTATAAGTACCCAGGTAGGTAGCTATTGCTTAACAGGTGGGACAGGTGGCAAGATATAGCTGCTAGGTGGCTATAGGTTAACAGGCAGATGACTATCAGTTAGCAGGTAAGTGGCATTCACTTGGCAGGTGGCTATAATGTACAAAGCTATTGGTAAGCTGGTTTAGCTATTTCTTAGCAGCTAGGGGGCTTTTGCTTAGTAAGTTATTGGCAATCAGTAAGAGGCTAGATGACTGTAAGTAACCAGTAGGTGGCTATCATATAGCTGGCAGGTGGCTGCTGGTTAGTATAAGTTTAGCAGGTGGGTGGATATCGGTAGGTGGATATATTTAGCAGGTAGGTGGCTATCAGTAGTTAGTTGGGTAATATTTAGCAGGTAGGTGACAATAAGCAGATAGGTGGCTATCAGTAGGTAGGAGGATAATGTGTAGAGGGTAGGTGGCTATCAGTAGGTAGGAGGATAATGTGTAGAGGGTAGGTGGCTATCAGTAGGTATTTGGATACTATTTAGCAGGTAGGTTGCTCTCAGAAGTTAGGAGAATAATGTTTACCAGGTAGGTAGCTATCAGTAGGTAAGCAAATAATGTTTTTCAGGTAGGTGACAGTAAGCAGTTAGGTGGCTATATGTAGGTTGATGAATAATGTTTAGCTGGTAGGTGACAGTAAGCAGGTAAGTGGCTATCAGTAGGTTGGTGGATAATGTTTAGCTGGTAGGTGACAGTAACAGGTAGGTAGCTATCAGTAGATAGGATGGTATTGTTTAGCTGGTAGGTGACAGTAAGCAGGTAGGTAGGTGGCTATCAGTGGGTAGAAGGATATTGTTTTTCTGGTAGGTGACAGTAAGCAGGTAGGTGGCTTTATGTAGGTTGGTGGATAATGTTTAGCAGATAGGTGACAGTAACATGTAGGTAGCTATCAGTAGATAGGATGATAATGTTTAGCTGGTAGGTGACAATAAGCAGGTAGGTAGCTATCAGTAGATAGGATGCATTGTTTAGCTAGTAGGTGACAGTAAGCAGGTAGGTAGCTATCAGTAGATAGGATGATAATGTTTAGCTGGTAGGTGACAATAAGCAGGTAGGTGGCTATCAGTAGATAGGATGATAATGTTTAGCTGGTAGGTGACAATAAGCAGGTAGGTGGCTATCAGTAGGTTGGTGGATAATGTTTAGCTGGTAGGTTGCTATCAGTAGATAGGATGATATTGTTTAGCTGGTAGGTGACAGTAAGCAGACAGGTGGCTATCAGTAGGTAGAAGGATATTGTTTAGCTGGTAGGTGACAGTAAGCAGGTAGGTAGTTATCAGTAGGTAGGATGAATTGTTTAGCTGGTAGGTGACAGTAAGCAGGTAGGTGGCTATATGTAGGTTGGTGAATAATGTTAAGCTGATAGGTGACAGTAAGCAGGTAGGTGGCTGTCAGTAGGTTGGAGGATAATGAATAATGTTTAGCTGGTAGGTGACAGTAAGCAGTTAGGTGGCTATCAATTGGTAGATGGATAATGTTTAGCAGGTAGGTGGCTATCAGTAGGTATTTGGATACTATTTAGCAGGTAGGTTGCTCTCTGAAGTTAGGAGGATAATGTTTACCAGGTAGGTAGCTATCAGTAGGTAAGCAAATAATGTTTTTCAGGTAGGTGACAGTAAGCAGTTAGGTGGCTATCAGAAGGCAGGTGGATAATGTTTAGCAGGTAGGTGGCTATCAGTAGGTAAGTGAATAATGTTTATAAGGTAGGTGACAGTAAGCAGGTAGGTGGCTATATGTAGGTTGATGAATAATGTTTAGCTGGTAGGTGACAGTAAGCAGGTAAGTGGCTATCAGTAGGTTGGTGGATAATGTTTAGCTGGTAGGTGACAGTAACAGGTAGGTAGCTATCAGTAGATAGGATGATATTGTTTAGCTGGTAGGTGACAGTAACAGGTAGGTAGCTATCACTAGGTTGGATGATATTGTTTTGCTGGTAGGTGACAGTAAGCAGGTAGGTGGCTATATGTAGGTTGGTGAATAATGTTAAGCAGATAGGTGACAGTAACATGTAGGTAGCTATCAGTAGATAGGATGCATTGTTTATCTGGTAGGTGACAGTAAGCAGGTAGGTAGCTATCAGTAGATATGATAAATTGTTTAGCTGGTAGGTGACAGTAAGCAGGTAGGTAGCCATCAGTAGATAGGATGATAATGTTTAGCTGGTAGGTGACAGTAAGCAGGTAGGTGGCTATATGTAGGTTGGTGAATAATGTTAAGCTGATAGGTGACAGTAAGCAGGTAGGTGGCTGTCAGTAGGTTGGATGATAATGAATAATGTTTAGCTGGTAGGTGACAGTAAGCAGGTAGGTGGCTATCAGTAGGTTGGTGGATAATATTTAGCTGGTAGGTGACAATAAGCAGGTAGGTGGCTATCAGTAGATAGGATGATAATGTTTAGCTGGTAGGTTGCTATCAGTAGATAGGATGATATTGTTTAGCTGGTAGGTGACAGTAAGCAGACAGGTGGCTATCAGTAGGTAGAAGGATATTGTTTAGCTGGTAGGTGACAGTAAGCAGGTAGGTAGTTATCAGTAGGTAGGATGAATTGTTTAGCTGGTAGGTGACAGTAAGCAGGTAGGTGGCTATATGTAGGTTGGTGAATAATGTTAAGCTGATAGGTGACAGTAAGCACAGTAGGTGGCTGTCAGTAGGTTGGAGGATAATGAATAATGTTTAGCTGGTAGGTGACAGTAAGCAGTTAGGTGGCTATCAATTGGTAGATGGATAATGTTTAGCAGGTAGGTGGCTATCAGTAGGTATTTGGATACTATTTAGCAGGTAGGTTGCTCTCTGAAGTTAGGAGGATAATGTTTACCAGGTAGGTAGCTATCAGTAGGTAAGCAAATAATGTTTTTCAGGTAGGTGACAGTAAGCAGTTAGGTGGCTATCAGAAGGCAGGTGGATAATGTTTAGCAGGTAGGTGGCTATCAGTAGGTAAGTGAATAATGTTTATCAGGTAGGTGACAGTAAGCAGGTAGGTGGCTATATGTAGGTTGATGAATAATGTTTAGCTGGTAGGTGACAGTAAGCAGGTAAGTGGCTATCAGTAGGTTGGTGGATAATGTTTAGCTGGTAGGTGACAGTAACAGGTAGGTAGCTATCAGTAGATAGGATGATATTGTTTAGCTGGTAGGTGACAGTAACAGGTAGGTAGCTATCACTAGGTTGGATGATATTGTTTTGCTGGTAGGTGACAGTAAGCAGGTAGGTGGCTATATGTAGGTTGGTGAATAATGTTAAGCAGATAGGTGACAGTAACATGTAGGTAGCTATCAGTAGATAGGATGCATTGTTTATCTGGTAGGTGACAGTAAGCAGGTAGGTAGCTATCAGTAGATATTATAAATTGTTTAGCTGGTAGGTGACAGTAAGCAGGTAGGTAGCCATCAGTAGATAGGATGATAATGTTTAGCTGGTAGGTGACAGTAAGCAGGTAGGTGGCTATATGTAGGTTGGTGAATAATGTTAAGCTGATAGGTGACAGTAAGCAGGTAGGTGGCTGTCAGTAGGTTGGATGATAATGAATAATGTTTAGCTGGTAGGTGACAGTAAGCAGGTAGGTGGATAATGTTTATCAGGTAGGTGGCTATCAGTAGTTAGGTGGATAATATTTAGCAGGTAGGTGACAGCAAGCAGTTAGGTGGCTATCAATTGGTAGATGGATAATGTTTAGCAGGTAGGTGGCTATCAGTAGGTAAGTGAATAATGTTTATCAGGTAGGTGACAGTAAGCGGTTAGGTGGCTATATGTAGGTTGGTGAATAATGTTTAGCTGGTAGGTGACAGTAAGCAGGTAGGTGGCTATCAGTAGGTAGAAGGATATTGTTTTGTTGGTAGGTGACAGCAAGCAGGTAGGTGGCTATATGTAGGTTGGTGGATAATGTTTAGCAGATAGGTGACAGTAACAGGTAGGTAGCTATCAGTAGATAGAATTATATTGTTTAGCTGGTCGGTGACAGTAAGCAGGTAGGTAGCTATCAGTAGATAGGATGATAATGTTTAGCTGGTGGGTGACAGTAAGCAGGTAGGTGGCTATCAGTAGGTAGGAGGATAATGTTTAGCTGGTTATCAATAGGTAGGGGGGCGGACAGCATAGAGGGCTAGTGTCACTTATTAAAAGACTGGTAGTTATCACACTTGGCTAGTGAGGAACAAAACTTCCCCATTCCACAAACACAGAATTAAAACATCCAGCAAACAGACTCTAGTTCCCACTCACTTCTTTTTACTGCCAGGAGGTTTTCGCCTCGTTGCAACTGAGGAAGCCTCTGAACGAGGCGAAACGCGTTTTGCACTATTAAGGACTATTCCAAAGACTTACCTTCAAACTGTAAGGTCTTGATTTTATTTAATTTTTTTATAACCACGTGTGCACTTTTAATAAAGCACTTTATTCTTATACTTACCTTTGAGAGGATATTTCATTACTCGAAACCTCCTGGCAGTATAAAGAAGTGAGTGAGAACTTTGATATCCCACAGAGCTGGAAATTTGAGCCTTACCCATAGGCTCCCTATTTGTGAGTGAAATTCCATCCACTTTTTGCACTTTAAGATTGTATACAGATAATATTGCACTATTATGTGTCCCATTTAGGAATATTTACTATTGTCAGCTATTCAAATAAGAAGATACTCCACCTTATACTATGTGTATATTTAGATCCTAGAGAGAGTGCAGCTGCTATAGCACAGGTTGTAATACACAACAAGACAATAAAGTCAACATTTATTGTACAGAGTGGACATTTATTGGGGTACATGGCTCTATGGGTTGGTGCCATCAGAACCACTATAACAGGCTCTCGTGGTTTTGGTGCATAATAGTAAATACAGCGCCTCAATCAACACAAAATAAAATCGAAGAAATAACAGATCACATTAAAGGGGAGAAATGGACAGAAGACCTTCTTACACTCTAACCCTACCATAGTTGACAGCTGTCCCAAATTTGCTGAGTTGACAGCTGTCCCATGTTTTAGGCTCCTGTTCCAGACAGCCCCATGTATAAGACAACCCTTATTTTTAAACCCCAAATTAAGAAATACATATTTTAAACATGTATAGCACTGAAGTCCAGTTTGGCTGATCAGGATGCCCTTCCGATCCCTGGCCTCCTCACTCTCCGGTAGGTCGCTCCCCGGAGTCCAACCATGTTCAGACACTGGTTCCCTGGACCGCTGTTCTGCTGTTGGCGGCAACGATGCACGTGCCCACAGAGGGGAATTACCCCGGTGGACCTTTTGTTCAGGTGTGTAGAAGCAGGCGTGGGACTCATGCGTCTGCCTGCTCCTCCACTTCCACGGTACCCTACAGGGGATGTGCGGCCAGGCCTCACCCTGCGGCATCTATTTGTAGTCCGTAGCTATGAGGTCTTTACATGGTCCAGAGTGATCTGAGCGGTTGCGCAAGATCTCCCAGATTCTTGTACACACCTTATTAGCCACTTACTCAAGCACACCCCTAATTAAGCTGCCAGACCCCGCGCACAAGTGTTTTTTTTTCTTATAACCCCTGTAATTACATTCCGTGTATAAGACGACCATCAATTTTAGACACATTTTTTTTAGAAAAAAACTGTCTTATACATGGAAAAATACGTCCCAGGACCTCTCCCACATTTCAGGGGCAGAACAGGAGGTCTGGACAGTGTGATCACCCCAGGGCCACAGTAAGGTGAACAGCGTATTGGTGTGTGCTTGTGTGTCTGTTTATGTCTTCATCTGTCGTTGTATCTGTCTGCTTATATGTCATTGGGGTATCTATATGTATCATCGTGCCTGTATCTTTTTGGCTGTGTGTGTGCTCAGGAGACATGGGACCTCTTTACACCATAACCTTATAGCTGCAGTACTATTACACCGTGTGCAGGGAGACAAGGGACCTCCTTACACCGTAACCTTAGAGCTGCAGTTATAATACACTGTGTGCGGGGAGATAGGGGATCTCTGTAGCGGAATGGATTTGTTATAAACAACTTATTTCACTTTTGTTTGGCTGTTCGTATCCCCTCTGTTCATCTCTCAAACAGAATATGTGTGGTCCCCCTCTTATACCCCTCGACCACCGATGACCCTGGCTGTTAACCACAAATGAACAATTATCTCAAGTGCTTTTCCTGGGTTGCCCCCATTCGAATCTCCGTATACACGTGAACCAAAGAGTGGTGGCCATTTTGTCTCCCGAACGGAGGTTGCGGTATTTGTTCGTTGAGTGTATTGAAACCTGTTGGCTACACAACTCCGCGAAGCCGGGGAACCTTTTACCGCTGCCTGTTCAACTTCCTGAACAGTTCCGAGAATGGTGTTCGGGAGAAAGGAACTACCGAACAGGGGGAGCATTTGCCCCCTAAAAGCCAGGGGAACCATTTGTCTGTGTTCATACAGGAGCCCCCGAAAGAAGACTCATTTCCTGTGGAACTGTTTTGGGACATCACCTCGTGGCCAGCCTGTCAAAACTTTACCCGAATGGCGATTCCGTTCTACCGAAGGGATCTGAGCACTATTTTGACAACTTGAGCGCTCAGATATGACTTTTGTGGGGTTCCTGTATAATTTTGATATATTTTTAGGGTGTTTTATGTGATTCTGTAATATTTCCTGTAACTGAGAGAAAAATTGAGTTATCGTGCTTTGGACACCATTATCTCTCAGACACAGAGATACCTGGGCATTTCTCTATGGAGACCCCATGCTGGGGGTCTGTGCATAAAAAGCTGAGTGTGGCACAATAAAACACAATTGACTTTCAGAACTATGTGTCATTTAATTGCTGGGAGGAAAGGGTTATATGATCACAAAAGCGCTTCTTACAACTTCGAGGAAGGAACAGCGGAGATACCTAGACAGGGTATCGGAGCTCCTCTACAACCTCCTTACATCATAACATTATAGCTGCAGTTATAATACACTGTGTGTGGGGAGACAAGGACAGGGGACCTCCTTACACCATAATCTTCAGAGTTGGTATAACACAATTAAGAAAACAAGGGGTAAGCTGCACTCGTCTGAACATGGTTAAATGGGGTGCTGCTGGGGGCCAATAAGTACAGTAAAAATGAAAATCCAGCGCACTCCCTTATCTACTGAACAGCTAATTTGGTGCTGACTGATTTTGTTAGTTTTATTAATAACACCTAATCTAGGCAAAAAAATAATGGGGGCTTAGTTACATTATATGATCATACATTGCATAAGCCATTTAGCAGACATTTGGCTGTTAAAGTAGGACCTGCCAAAGATGGGGTACATTGACGTTGTGGCAGGCTTATGCAATGTATGATCATATAATGTAACTAAACCCCAATTATTTTTTGCCTAGATTAGGTGTTTTTAATAAAACTAACAAAATCGGTCAGCACAAAAGTAGCTGTTCAGTAGATAATGGAGTGCGCTGGATTTTCATTTTTACGGTATAACACAATTGACAGGGTTTTAATATTGGTTTGGGAGTAGGTAGCGGCTTGGGAACTAGGGTCCTCCAGCCCTAATTAATTAGAGAATGCACCTACTGGCTGTGGGTGTGAGATTGGGGGGAGATTAGGTATCTCCATTTATTAGTTATTATTATTATTATTTTATTATTTATATAGCGCCAGCCATTTCTGTAGCGCTGTAAAATGGGTGGACACGTAATTGTAATCAGACAAATGGATGCACAGGAACAGAGGGGTTGAGGGCTCTGCTCAATGAGCTTACATGCTAGAGGGAGTGGGGTATAGTGACACAAAGGGAATAAGTAGGGGTAATAAAATAGGTTGCTAGAAAAGTATTCACTGAGGTTATTTTTGACAGTTGCAGGAGAGGAGTCGTGGGGGGGGGGATGAAAACCCACTAGCAGTTCAAATGATATGCTTTCCTGAAGAAGTGTGTTTTCAAAGATTTTTTGAAGGAGTGGAGACTGGGTGAAAGTCTAACGGAGAAGGGAAGGGAGTTCCACAGAAAAGGTGCAGCCTTGGAGAAGTCTTGGAGGTGAGCACCAGAATCTTAAATTGTGCCCTATATCTAAATGGAAGGCAATGTAGGGACTGACAGAGGGGTGAGGTGTAGGAGGTGCGAGCAGACAGGAAAATGAGCCTCGCCGCCGCATTCATTATGGATTGCAGCGGTGCAATCTGGGAAGACGTAAGACCACTGAGAAGGGGATTGCGGTAGTCAGGACGAGAAGAACAATGGCATGGACCAGCACCTTAGCTGCGTCTGGTGTTAAATAGGGACGGATGCGAGCTATGTTTTTTGAGATGGAAGCGGCAGGATTTGGTGATTGACTGGACATGAGGGGTGAAGGAGAGGTCGGAGTCAAAGAGAACACTGAGGCAGCGAGCCTGCGAGGTAGAGGTGACAGTGATGCCGTGGACTTGGAGGGAGACAGACACGGGAGTAGCAACACTTGAGGGAAGAAAGACCAGAAGCTGTGTTTTGGACAGGTTGAGTTTAAGGAAGTAAGCAGCCATCCAGTTAGAAATGGCCGAGAGACAGTCAGAGAGAGATCAGGAGAGGACAGGTAGATTTGCGTGTCATCCGCATAGAAATTATATTGGAAGCCAAAGGAGCTGATGAGTTTCCCAAGGGAGGCAGTATAGATGGAGAACAGTAGGGGACCAAGGACAGAACCTTGGGGAACACCAACAGAGAGGAGTTGGGGAGAATGTTCTGCTGCAATTAGGTGGAGTGGATCTGGGGAACAATAGGTTACCCCTGCTTTATTATTGCTATAGTCCCCAGCTGCTGACCACTATGTCCCCTTGTGTATTTTGATTTATTAAGTTGCTCAGAAATGGGGGCAAGGATGTCGCCTGTAGCTTTTTATTTTAATGGCGACCCACCTGCTGTTAAGTAGTGAGGGCACGGAAGAGAAAACAGTGACCTGTTCATCCCCCTCATTTTTTAATGTGAGCCCTCACCTAATGCCCAAGGGAGGTAGCACAGGAGGACCCAGTCACTAGTATTTTAATAAAGTGAGCAGCCATTGACTATAAGATGAATAGTAGACATCTATTTTCAGCATTGGCGAGGTGTATAAACATTGCACAACAGCATGAACTGCCAGTTAATGCAACAAATGCCACATTCAGAATTCAGAGCCATCACAAGTCTATTAACATTTGCGAGGTAGGCACATGGAATTGCAGCACAAGGGGAGCCATAGACTAACGCATTTCGCATTTAGCAGTCCTTAGTCTGTGCTGCAGTTCCATGTGCCTAGCTCGTGAAAGTTAATAAACTTGTGATGGCTCCGGATTCTGTGTATAACCCCCTCGTACTAATGTAAGGTCATATTGACCCCATAGGATTTATTTTAACTATTTCACAAATGTGAATGTGCTAATTTTTTTCCCCTCAATAACATGTAATCCACACCTCAAAATACCTTCTCATGTTCTCTTAACACCAAGTGCACTATAGAAATCTCAATATAAAAGGTAAAAATTCACCAATTTGTTTAAATAACCACTTTAGAGTATTTAAAAAGATTGGTGAATTTATTTGATAAGCACTCTACCTTTTATATTGCTATATTTATATTTGCCTACTTGGCTTCTGGTTCTGCGAGAGGACAATTAGTAAAAATATAAAAAGATTTATCTGCAGCTTTTAACTGTTAACTCAGATTTAACAGGAGCCACGGAAATGAATTGCTGAAGCCTAGATTTTTTATATAAAATATAAGTTTTGGATTCCATATTAGAAATTATATTTTAACTGTCGGGATAAACATTTAACTGTTGGAATTAAATCAATCTTAAATAAATGGTTTATAAGGAGCAGAAACACTGACAATACAGGTGATCGGCTGATATGGAATCGAGGGCTTTGTAAAATAAAACTTTCACTATATTTTTGTGAAGGAGGGACATCCAAACTGTGTAAACTTACATCATTTATCATTTTTTAAAGACAATCGTAAGCTGAATTGCTTTCTTCTTGTAGCAATGTATTACGTTTGCAAAATAACTGTTATGTTAATTACTTAACATGATAGTGAAGAGCTTAACCTCCTACTAATTAGAATAGATGGCTGACAGCGATTTCATGACTGGAGTGCACAGATTGCATTAGGACGCACACCCAGGAAATGATTACTATCCTCTAATAAAAGGGAATGATTTATTGAATACTTGCCTATAAATATTTATTTGATTTCCTCAATTCTTTATTTATTCGTGCGTGTAGGGTACAAATAGGCAAGTAATGCCCCAACAGCTGTTACTAGCTTAACATTCAACATTAGAAAACATTTGTCGACATCCATTAACATAGCACATTTTCTATTTTAGAAGTATATTATACAAGACAGTGAGCCCCTTGTGGGTGTGGTAAGAGTGTGAGTCAGTTTGGTGATACCCATGACGGGGTCTTGCCTCCTTCCCCTAGACTGTGTGTGCAGTGTATTATGGATTGGGCAATGCGGTATGTTTGGCAGCCCTTACTAAGTGCTAATACTTCCTCTCTTTATGCATTTGTAGTGCTCGTTTATGAAACTGCTTTTATTTTGCTAAATGATATCAACCTCATCAATGACATGAGTAAATGGAATATAAATTACCCGTAATGATTCTAATAAAAAATCCCACCAAAAAACAGCTCCCATACAGTATTGTTCCTTACACAGGAATGTTAAAAACACCATGGACACATTAGAGAATTCCTATCCCTGTTGTGATCCATAACCCCCAAAAAATAAAAAAAGATCAAGACAAAAGAACAAAAGATTTGTGGAGATACGTTTTGAAAGAAAGGTTTTGTTGCCACCTAAAAGCCCATGAAAGCCCATATGTTTAGAGCCTACATCACCAAAATGCTCCAATAGATTTGAGTTTGTAATCATTAGTTTGGTTGGGAATTCACAATTTTTGTATGCAATAATACACCACTGTATCTCTCTCACGTTTTTACGTGTACATACCCCCATACTGTTTGAGGGGTTAGTGTTAAAAATGTCAACGTTGCACTCACGCTTTATGATTTAGGTGGTAGGACTTATCACCTAAACATTGTTTTTTTTTTTGCATTTTATGTTTATTTGGGGTTTCCACAGAGTGTTTTCCACAGCTAACAAACACCTTTGTTTCATCACCCGTTTGTTTAATTATTTAATTTGTTGTTCAATATTTAACTTGTCTCTTTTCCTTGTCTCCCTGTCATCTTTCTATCCTCAACATTCACTCTCTGCATTTCTATAACTCACTCTCTGCACTGCCCCATCATTCACCATCTGCACTGCCCCATCATTCACCGATTGCACTGCCCCATCATTCACCATCTGCACTGCCCCATCATTCACCATCTGCACTGCCCCATCATTCACCGTCTGCACTGCCACGTCATTCACCATCTGCACTGCCCCATCATTCACCATCTGCACTGCCCCATCATTCACCGTCTGCACTGCCCCGTCATTCACCGTCTGCACTGCCCAATCATTCACCGATTGCACTGCCCCATCATTCACTGTTTGCACTGCCCCGTCATTCACCGTCTGCATTGCCCCATCATTTACCGATTGCACTGTCCGTCATTCACCATCTGCCCGCATTCACCATGCCCCATCATTCACTGTCTGTACTGCCCATTATTTACCGATTGCACTGTCCATCATTCACCATCTGCACTGCCCCGTCATTCACCGTCTGCATTGCCCCATCATTTACCGATTGCACTGTCCCGTCATTCACCATCTGCACTGCCCCGTCATTCACCATCTGCACTGCCCCATCATTCACTGTCTGTACTGCCCCATTATTTACCGATTGCACTGTCCCATCATTCACCATCTGCACTGCCCGTCATTCACCGTCTGCACTGCCCCATCATTCACCATCTGCACTGCCCCATCATTCACCGTCTGCACTGCCCCGTCATTCACCATCTGCACTGCCCCATCATTCACCATCTGCACTGCCCCATCATTCACCGTCTGCACTGCCCCGTCATTCACCGTCTGCACTGCCCCATCCTTCACCATCTGCACTGCCCCATCATTCACCGATTGCACTGCCCCGTCATTCACCGTCTGCATTGCCCCGTCATTCACCGTCTGCACTGCCCCGTCATTCACCATCTGCACTGCCCCGTCATTCACCGTCTGCACTGCCCCATCATTCACCGATTGCACTGTCCCATCATTCACCATCTGCACTGCCCTGTCATTCACCTTCTGCACTGCCCCATCATTCACCGTCTGCACTGCCCCATCATTCACCTTCTGCACTGCCCCAACATTCATTGTCTGAACTGCCCCATTATTCACCTTACATTCATTCCTTTATATCCTACCCTCCATATCCCACTGTCTATTTCCTGCACCTACCTGTACACACATCCTCTCTATTAACATCTTCCAGGAGAAGGAAAGCTGTACAGCTCAGATGAAGAAAAGGTGGACATCAAAACCTCAGATCTTGGCTGTAGTGATTGCGAAGATGAGGAAAGCACTGGGGACAGCTGTGATGAAAGTCTACCAGATAATGCCCACAGTCCCACAAGGCCAAGGGGGAAAGGAAAGGGTGGGAATCAGGACTCAGTGGGAGGTGTAATGGGTACATCTGGGAAAAGCCGGAGGCGCAGGACAGCATTTACTAGTGAGCAGCTCCTGGAATTAGAGAAGGAGTTTCACTGCAAGAAGTACCTCTCTCTCACAGAGAGATCCCAGATTGCTCACACTTTGAAGCTCAGTGAGGTTCAGGTGAAGATCTGGTTCCAAAACCGAAGGGCCAAATGGAAACGGATCAAAGCTGGAAACATCAGCAGTCGTGCTGGTGAACCTGTCCGAAATCCCAAGATTGTGGTTCCCATCCCAGTACATGTCAACCGTTTCACGGTCCGGACACAGCAGATGGAGGGTGGGCGGCCCTAGAAGATGGATGAGATGGAATAAAAACATATATTGGAGAAATGAGACAGAAGATAGGTGGCACTGGGGGATACGATAGGATGAAATTGGACATGCTGTAACGTAAAAAGGTGTGAAAGATCCTGAAACTAGATCATGAGTTTGGGAGCACTCCCCCATTTGCAAACAGTTAAATATATGACTTTGTTAAAGTCTGAGCTCGCAGTTATAAATGGATGATCTGAGGCATTAATGGTGTGCCCCAAGAACTGACAATCTTATCTCTATTTGGAAAAAAAAATTTATAGCTGGTTATGAAAAAAAATTCAGAGCTTACCGGTTTAATAAAAATGGTACAAAACAGTAATACAAAAAAAATATATATGCGCAGAACACAAGAGGCAATTTACATGGGAATTGTGGGCGGGTAAAAGGGACATGTTAGGTGGTGATACCAGTAAAAGACTGCACCTACAGCAAACCTGGTAAACAGGAAAGATTGTGTGTGTGGCCAGTGGCTGATGAGGGAAGAAATTGTATCTTTCTATGTTTAATTATTAATCTGAACAGATGTAGAGCTGCAGTATGTACAGTGGTGATTGCTGGCACATTAATTACATCACAAGGTACAGGACGTACTAGAGATGTGGATGGAAATCATTTTTGTTTTCTTTGGTTTTGGTTTGAGTGATAAATTCTCATTTTTGGTTCAACCAAAATGAGTTCAAACAGAAAAGCAAAAATGTTCCATTAATTTAACAAATATTGGTGCAAATGGTAAATCCCTTTGGGGAAAGAATGAATCCAGAATGTGGCACAAAGGCCCCCTAGGGGGAAAGTTAAAGGACTGTCTCAATGAAGTGGTCTGGATGCAGTGGACCCACAATGTATAACATTGACAATTTGTAGGAAGTGCAGGTTAAATCCACTTTTAGTGGCTGTCAGTATGTAGGGCTTCCTCCACAATGACCAGTAACCAAATGCTTCTCATAGGAAAGCACTGAATTCAATGTTTTCCTATAAGAAGCAGTTGACTGGAGACATGCATGGCGCTTGCAGGGACCTTCTATGAGAAGCATTGGTTTGGACGACAGCTCCATGATGACATTGTAGGAGGTGGAGAAGGCGGCAGCATGCAGAGAGTCTTGGGGCTGGAAAGAGATGTGTATATGGGAAATGGAAAATGAAAATACTTACTCATGCACCCAGAAGAGCATCAGCCAGTTAACGAATGAGCAAATGGCACCAAATGAAATTTGTTCAGTTTTTGATTCGGTTATTAGTTTTTGGCCGAAATTAACAAAAATTTAAATTTTCAGAAGTCTTGATTTATGTGGATAAAGTCAACGAAAGCATGGAATCGGAAAACTGGCAGACATGCCTAGAATCCCATATGGTAATGAACAGAATAGTGTTTGGTAAACGGTGAGCAGGTTAGGGTTAGAGAGATAAATGTCAGAGTCAAGTAAGAACAGCGGAAGCCTGAGGAGCAAGACAATGCCTGCTAGGTGTACAGAGTAAAGGACAGGGCTGGACTGCAAATACAAAGCACTCCTGGAAAAAAAATGTATGCAGGCCCCATAATTCGTTATGTCAAAGCGTGAGATGCTGGGCAGTTTTTTTCACACACTCTCTCTCTCTCTCTCTCTCTCTCATCTCACACTCTGAACCATGAATGTGAAGGGAAGAATTTCTGTTAAGTGTCAAAGAGGGGTTTATTCACTAAACTCTAGCTTGTAGTAAATTTAAATTAGAATGGCAAACATTTAGTCAAGCAGAATTTTTTTTTTAGTTAAGATGTTTTTAGGTTCTGTAGTGCTTTATAATTGTAATTCAAAATTTTGGTCATTACATAGGGACAAAAATTTTATTTTACAGTAAGCATATGCACACACAAGCTCACTGACACAAACACACAAGCTCACTTATACACACAGATAGGCTCACTGACAATCTCGCAGAAACAGCCAAGCTCACTGACACAAACACACAAGCTCACTAATACACACAGATAGGCTCACTGACAATCTCGCAGAAACAGCCAAGCTCACTGACACAAACACACAAGCTCACTTATACACACAGATAGGCTCACTGACAATCTCGCAGAAACAGCCAAGCTCACTGACACAAACACACAAGCTCACTAATACACACAGATAGGCTCACTGACAATCTCGCAGAAGCAGCCAAGCTCACTGACACAAACACACAAGCTCACTTATACACACAGATAGGCTCACTGACAATCTCGCAGAAGCAGCCAAGCTCACTGACACAAACACACAAGCTCACTTATACACACAGATAGGCTCACTGACAATCTCGCAGAAGCAGCCAAGCTCACTGACACAAACACACAAGCTCACTAATACACACAGATAGGCTCACTGACAATCTCGCAGAAACAGCCAAGCTCACTGACACAAACACACAAGCTCACTAATACACACAGATAGGCTCACTGACAATCTCGCAGAAGCAGCCAAGCTCACTGACACAAACACACAAGCTCACTAATACACACAGATAGGCTCACTGACAATCTCGCAGAAGCAGCCAAGCTCACTGACACAAACACACAAGCTCACTAATACACACAGATAGGCTCACTGACAATCTCGCAGAAACTGCAAAGCTCACTGACACAAACACACAAGCTCACTAATACACACAGATAGGCTCACTGACAATCTCGCAGAACCAGCCAAGCTCACTGACACAAACACACAAGCTCACTAATACACACAGATAGGCTCACTGACAATCTCGCAGAAGCAGCCAAGCTCACTGACACAAACACACAAGCTCACTTATACACACAGATAGGCTCACTGACAATCTCGCAGAAACAGCAAAGCTCACTGACACAAACACACAAGCTCACTTATACACACAGATAGGCTCACTGACAATCTCGCAGAAACAGCAAAGCTCACTGACACAAACACACAAGCTCACTAATACACACAGATAGGCTCACTGACAATCTCGCAGAAGCAGTCAAGCTCACTGACACAAACACACATGCTCACTTATACACACAGATAGGCTCACTGACAATCTCGCAGAAACAGCAAAGCTCACTGACACAAACAAACAAGCTCACTTATACACACAGATAGGCTCACTGACAATCTCGCAGAAACAGCAAAGCTCACTGACACAAACATACACACTCACTAATACACACAGATAGGCTCACTGACAATTTTGCATGAAACAGCCAAGCTCACTGACACAAACACACACACTCACTAATACACACAGATAGGCTCACTGACAATCTCGCAGAAACAGCCAAGCTCACTGACACAAACACACACACTCACTAATACACACAGATAGGCTCACTGACAATCTCGCAGAAACAGCCAAGCTCACTGACACAAACACACAAGCTCACTTATACACACAGATAGGCTCACTGACAATCTCGCAGAAACAGCCAAGCTCACTGGCACAAACACACACACTCACTAATACACACAGATAGGCTCACTGACAATTTTGCATGAAACAGCCAAGCTCACTGACACAAACACACAAGCTCACTTATACACACAGATAGGCTCACTGACAATCTCGCAGAAACAGCCAAGCTCACTGACACAAACACACACACTCACTAATACACACAGATAGGCTCACTGACAATCTCGCAGAAGCAGCCAAGCTCACTGACACAAACACACAAGCTCACTTATACACACAGATAGGCTCACTGACAATCTCGCAGAAGCAGCCAAGCTCACTGACACAAACACACAAGCTTACTTATACACACAGATAGGCTCACTGACAATCTCGCAGAAGCAGCCAAGCTCACTGACACAAACACACAAGCTCACTTATACACACAGATAGGCTCACTGACAATTTTGCATGAAACAGCCAAGCTCACTGACACAAACACACACACTCACTAATACACACAGATAGGCTCACTGACAATTTTGCATGAAACAGCCAAGCTCACTGACACAAACACACAAGCTCACTAATACACACAGATAGGCTCACTGACAATCTCTCAGAAACAGCCAAGCTCACTGACACAAACACACACACTCACTAATACACACAGATAGGCTCACTGACAATCTCGCAGGAACAGCCAAGCTCACTGACACAAACACACACACTCACTAATACACACAGATAGGCTCACTGACAATTTTGCATGAAACTATTTTGCACTGACACAAACACACAAGCTCACTAATACACACAGATAGGCTCACTGACAATCTCGCAGAAACAGCCAAGCTCACTGACACAAACACACAAGCTCACTAAAACACTATTTCTCCAGTGACTTATTCAAAAAGCAAAATGATTAATTCACCAACTATAGAGATGTTTACTACTTCCTAAAATCAAATCACCCCTTCTTGATATCTATTATACTAGTCAGTGGTGGGACTAGTATAGAGAGAACCATGGTGCAAGGGAGGCCAAAATAGAGATCTTCAACTCTCCCACAATGATGTTTGGCCTGTTGGGAATCTACTATTTACTCTTCTTGCTTTGTTGTATTTGTAAGCAGTGTCTGCATGTTTGGATGTAAGCATATTTTTGGAATGCAGGGGTGTATTTGTGTGGAGTGTTAGTGTTGAAATGCTGGGATGTATGCATTGTCCCACACACACAGATACACACTTACACAGAGTTGCACACACACTAAGATACACCGAGATACGTAGGTACACAGGTACACTGACACACACGTTATAAATAACAATTACATAGTTTAGCCACCTCCTGTTTCCTTACCTTTCGAGTACAGAAGGCTGGCCTTCCGCAGGTCCAGTGGGAGCTGGCAGACCTAGGCTGATGTAAGTCTGAGACGCCAGGCTTCCTCAGTCCCTCTCCTCCTTTCCATGCAGCACCCCGTTAGGTGTGAGGAAATTACGTGGATCTAAACTTACTGAATCTCAGCATGTTGCGGTGTAATATACAAAGTGACATGGGCCCCGTCCAGTGCAATGTTAAAGTTCCGTGAGCCCCTGATTACTTTAAAA